GAAGGATCTTTTCTACCACACAGACATCTTATATGTCCTCCCTGTATCTTCTCAATTGATTTACAACAGCCTTCATTTGAACAATAATCCTTAGAGTTTGAAGTTTTACCTTCCTCACCTTGTCAACTCCTTGGAGAGAATTTTGTAAAATCTCCCAAGCTTCTTTTGAGGTGGTAGCATCTGCCACCTTCTCAAACATGGTATCATCCAAATATTGGTGGGTGAGCGTGAGGGCTTGTTGATCCTTCTACCTTATCTTTGCCAAAACATCCTTTTCATATTGAGGTGGAGCTTCCTCATTATCGGGTTCTGCATACCATTTGTCTATGATTTCCTACACATCCTGAGAGCCAAGAATGGCTTTCATACGTAGACACAATTTCTCATAATTTTCTTTTGTGAAATAAGGATACTGAAAAGACGGCGAACCATTATTCGCCATGTCTCTGATACCACGTTGTTGGGTAAAAATAATATCCCACCCAGGAATAATATCCACGGTAAATCACAATAAAACAAGAGAGTAACAAAGAGCTTATTTCTTTTAAGGGTAAAATACAATACCAAGCAGAACAATATAATACCACTACTATAATATTACAACTTGGTAGTGTCAAGATACTATTATAAATTCAAAAGAATAAACACTCTTAATTTTAAATACGTCACAACAATATTACTCTCACTCAATATTTATCTCACAGAGTACAATCTATGGATTACTCTCTCTAACTCTCTCTAGCTTCTCTCGATTTTGGTGTGTTTGAAACTGAAACAAAACACTTCCTTTTATAAGAAAAGTTGTCATCCAAATTAACCAATCAGAATTGGTTGTTGTAGACAATAAATTTGCGTCGAGAAAATAAAATCATGATCGATAAATATTGCAACAATCAGAGTATTTTATTTCGAGTAATTTGAGTGTTACAATCTCTATGATTCCTCTAATTCTACTTTTTCAATATAAATTCAAGGGTCTTTGAGCTTGATCTTGAATTTGAATTCGATTTATCCGTCGTGAACACTTTGATTGTTGCCACAAATTTTATCACGAACAAGTAGCCTTGATCTTGAACGCCTTGTATTTAATTTGACTCCATTCTTGATCTGGAATACTTGAAATTTGTGTTGAAGTGCTTGAATGCTTGAACACTTGCAGTTTGCAGAGAATTGTGGCCTTTGATCCATGAGTTCCCTTGTGTCTTCTTGTTATAACTTCTGATCCCTTTTCTGGGTTATAAAGACCCCTATTTATAGTTGTGGGAGGGAAGAGTTGTGATGAGAACAAACTCTTTTCGGCCAATCAGATCAAAGCATGACAACACAACATTTAATTGGCCAGAACATGTCATTTGCATATGTGGCGTGATTTCATTGGCATTTTAATTTGACTTGGCATGCCTTGTCATTTTGACATGTGGTATGATTTTATTGGCTCTTCCGTTTGACGTAGCGTGCCCGTCATTTGACACGTGGCACCAAACTGGTCCTCTAGGATGATGACATATTAGGCCTAATGAAGTGGGCTCATCATTTATGGCCCAACTAAACATGTTAGCCTAGTCAATATTTATTGAACTTAAGTAATTAATCCATTTATATTAGCCCATAATATTTGTTTAGATTAATATATTTAAAATATAGTCCAAATTATTTATTGAATTTAAATCCAATGAATTTTGCATGTCCACAAATGCTCCCTGCTTCAAGACTTGTTGGATGTAGATGTGTTGAACTTTAAAACAAGTCTTGAAGTACAATGTAAAATAGCTTGAGCTCTTGACCCCGAATCGCAATTTGTTTCTCAAATATAAAGTTTTCAGTCTTAATACGTTCAAGAAATTTTCATCCTCTTTAGAAAGATTTATATATTGTAAGTTGATGAGCTTTTAATGTTGGCTTCAAGAAAGTTTACTTATAAAAATAATTGAAGATCAATTGCCTCTACTGTAAAGAGATATATTATCAAAGCCAATACTCAATCTTTATGGTGGCACACGTGAGTTAAGGACTCCTATTCATATAGGAATGTCATCGTCTGCACATCACCAAGCAAATAAGGAGTGTTTGAAACCCCACTTGAACTTGAAGTAGCCAATGACTAATTCCCTGTATGAGACAAATTACATTGCTGGCTCCCACATTGTTAATATGTCTTTGCAACCCATCTTCGGCATCTATATGTATAGATGCATGCTCTCCCATTGTGAATATCAATTCGCAGTGTTTGCCAATTTCTGGAGTGCATATTTGACAGGTAACTTCTTCTTTTTTTTAATTTTCGTCACCCTCTTACAGTCAGCACATCTTGTGGTATAAAATTAATATCTTCCCGTAGAAAAGTACAAATCATAGCCCGTTTGATTCTACGGAAGATAGACCTTTGGTATAGAACATATCCGAAATTCGGAATTAGAATCTTTGCGGATCACCCATAGTTTTAGATTTGTGCTATTCACCAAAGATTTTATATCTTGATGTAGGTACCTCGGAATCCCAAACCGTTTAATTTCTCATAAACTAGAGTTCAAGATATAAAACATATCCGAAATTCAGAATTAAACACTTTCAATATCATTCTAAATGATGTTTTGAAGTCGGCTCTATATTCTAACGTGCCATCAGTTTTAGATTTGTACGACTTCACCAAAAGTTTTATATCTTGATGTAGGAATCTCGGAATCACAAACCGTTTAATTTATCAGAAACTAGAGTCCAAGATATCCGAAATTAAGAATTAACTACTTTCAGGATTGCTCCAGATAATTTGTTAAAGTCGGCTCTATATTCTAACGCGCCATCAGTTTTAGATTTGTGCGTCTACACCAAACATTTTATATCTTGATATAGGAACTTTGGAATTGCAAACCGTTTAATCTCTCAGAAACTAGAATTCAAGATCTATAACATATCCAAAATTCAAAATTGAATACTTTCAGGATCGTTCTGTATGAATGTTTTAAGTCGACTCTATATTCTAATGCGCCAACAGTTTTAGATTATCGCGGCTTCATCAAACCTTTTGTATCTTGATGCTGGAATGTCGGAATTGAAACCATTTTAATTGATAGAACCTAGTCTCAGACTGATTCATCTCACCAAAAATCATGGCCAGAATCATGCCATATTGTTCTAGGCAATACTTTGAACTCAATTTTCGAATCTGACATGCCTTGGCAGGTAACCATCTTTCTTGTACTCGTATTTTTTTTTTTGCTGCCTTCTTTTTTTGTCATTATAGGGAATGGAGACATCTTTCAAGGTTAGACGCACATAGAAGGAAAAATTCGTGGCACCAAATAGAAGGACAAATCTTCAACATCATATGGAAGTACAAATCCATGACAGCATATAGAAGTATCAAATCCATGACAACATATAGAAGGATCAAATCCATGAAGAGGACAACTTAAGGTGCAAAGGGACTTAAACGTCCACCTTAAGATTGGAATATTAAAGTTCCTTTTAAGGACAAACCTACGAAGAGGTCAACTTAAGGTGCAAAAGAGACTTCAGCGTCCACCTTAGGATTGAAAAATTATAGTTCTTTTTAAGGACAAACCCGTGAAGAGACCAACTTAAGGTGCAAAGAGACTAACATGTCCACCTTAAAATTGAAAAATTAGAAAACTTCAACTTGAAGACTTAGCAAACTTTGCAGATTTCAAATTGAAGACCAAAATATTTGAAGATTTGACGGGCTTAAAAATTTGGTAGACTTTGATGCTTCAACTTGAAGAGCGGTGGACTTTTACTTCAACTTGAAAAATTAGTAGACTTGAAGACTTCAGCTTTAAGACTTGTAGGGCTTAAATAATTCAACCTGAAGACTGACGAATTTGAGGACTTCAAATTGAAGACCGACGAACATGAAGACTTGTAGGGATTGAATACTTCAACTTAAAGATTGACAGACTTTCAGACTTCAACTTGAAGGGCGGTGGACTTGCAGAATTCAACTTGAAGAGCGACATACTTGAAAATTTTGAGGGCTTATATAATTCAACTTGAAGACCGGCGAACTTGAGGACTTCAAATTGACCACCGACAGACTTGAAGACTTGGAGGGCTTGAATACTTCGACTTGAAGACTGGCGGACTTGCAGACTTCAACTTGAAGGGCGGTGGACTTGCAGAATTCAACTTGAAGAGCGACATACTTGAAAATTTTGAGGGCTTATATAATTCAACTTGAAGACCGGCGAACTTGAGGACTTCAAATTGACCACCGACAGACTTGAAGACTTGGAGGGCTTGAATACTTCGACTTGAAGACTGGCGGACTTGCAGACTTCAACTTGAAGGGCGCTGGACTTTGCAAAATTTAATTTGAATAGCGAAATACTTGGAGATAATATGAAGTTAGAATTCTAAATATTAGTGTGTTATTAAGTGATGTGATGGGGTGTATAGGATTCATCTACCTTAACAATACTTCTTTTGAGCCTTAAAAATGGGGACGCTCATTTTAGGGACCGCATTTTCATATAATGGGCCCTAACAGATGGGAAGATGTAGGTGAAAATAGCACGGGTCAGTCTTCTCTCGAGGAACTTATAGCTGAGTTAGGATTTAAAGTTTATGAATATAAATTCTAGACATTTTAAGTTATCGTACTTTAAATTAAATTAATAATTTATATATATTAAATGAATTTATTAAAATAAATATTTAATTTGAACTAAAATTATTGGGTTCGGTTGAACCCGGAACGGGTAATTTAAATTCTAGCTCTGCCCGATAGTCACTCAAGGAATTGTAACTAATATGTACTAGCTAGTCTTTTATTAAATTTCTTATGTCATATGGAGGATGATTGAGTTTCTTTTTTACGCAAAAATTGTAAATTAAACTTAGGCGAAATAGACTTGTGCATGAGAGGAAGACAAATTTGCAAGACTCTTGTCTATAGTCGTGCGCCTTTAATTTGGGTTCCGTATCTTCTTATCCACAGTGGAGTCAAGGTCGTCCCTTTTGACTCTTCTACAGCAGTTGAGAAGGCAGGACTCATAAGGCATGATTATTGACCCCAAATCTTTGCAATTTATTAATATGAAAATTATAGTAGTGAGTTGTTACGCGAACCAGAGTTTGCATCATTTTTGAAACTCAAAAACCATGGATCAAAAACAAATGATTTTGCTTCCTTACCAAATTATTTGTTTTTACGCTTGTGTTCTAATACTGACATTAGCCACGGCCCAAACAACCACTAATAGCACCACCACCACAATTACGAAAGGTATCAATATAACAAAACGAGGATGCCGTAAGCAGTGTGGGAACGTTACAGTTCCATACCCATTTGGTATTGGGAAAGGATCAGGTTGCGCCATTAATGCAGGGTTCGAGATCAAATGCAATATTTCTAGTGACGGTTCTCAGAAACCCCTCATAGGAACCCTTGAGGTGTACAACATATCTGACACTGAAGTGCGCATCTCAAATTCCATCGCTTGGAGATGCTACAACTCAAATGGAGCTGTACGCAATGAATATCTCGATTATACCCGTTTGGGAAACTCAACTTATCCATATAGTTTCTCTGCGCTGAACAGGTTTATCGTCATCGGTTGCGACGACAACGCTCTTATCACGAGGCCTAACTTTGAGTATAACTGCTCTACTAGCTGTAACTTGTCAAGGGATGTGACTGAAGGAGAATGTATGGGCAAAGGCTGTTATCAAGTACAGATACCCAAGGGCTTGAAATACTTTGTCCCAATCATTTCTAGCACTCGAAACCACACGGATGTTTGGTATTTTAATCAATGTGGATATGCATTTCTAGGCGAAGCAGATCGATTTTATTTCCGTGGCGTACAAGATTTAAGTGATATGACCTTTTATAAGAGGACTATGGCTAGTGTTCCCATTGTGCTTCACTGGGCAATTGGCAATCTTACGTGCATTGAAGCTCGGAAAAGCAATGATTATGCTTGCAGGGAAAATAGCGAGTGTGTTGATTCAGACACTGGTCTTGGTGGCTACCGCTGCAGCTGTAATAAAGGTTATGAGGGCAATCCTTATCTTAGTCCAGGCTGCCAAGGTAGGACGATTTCCACACACACACACACACAAAAAGGAGTTTTTTCGGTGTTTAATTTGTGAGTAGAAATATCTCCTGAAAAAATTATATACATTAAAAATTAATAGCAAATTGAATAGTGTTTTTAATGAAACTTTTATGTAATAAAGATTATTGGAGTAATAAGTTTTGAGTGTTGTTGATGGCTTGAATCTAAGATGAAGTTATCATACTTACTTATCATACTTACTGTTCCCAAAAAAATATCATACTTACTTATTTATAAATAATTTAACTTTAAACTTTCTACTTTACTTTTAATGAAATGATTTACAGTCACACAAATATCTATAGTTTAGTTTAGACCACAAATTTCAATAGTTTATTTCTTTCTTAAACTTCGCATCAAGTTCGATACCGCCATATAAATTGGAACGGAAGGGTTACTAAGTAATGTAATGAAGTGGATAGGATCTCTCCACCTTAACCATAAATCTTCCTACAAATGGAGATACTCATGAGTCGTGACAGAGACCATTCTCCATTTGATGGTCTCTAAAGAATAGTGTGAAGGTGAATTAGTCGAGCTAGTAAATTTAGTATACCAAAGTATATAAAAAATTCTAAATAGTCAAGATAGTAAGGAAAGTGATTCAAAGGAAGCATATTAATTAGACCGTCAATTGTTGATTAGGAGAGCATTGTTTAAGAATATAATTTATAAAATGCAAAACTCTGTAAAAGTAACTTAGCTCTTAAAATAGGAAAGACATCCAAATTTATTCCTGTATTATTCAAAATTACTCAATTTTTTCCTTTAATTAACTTTTGGTCTAATATTATGTTAACGGTAAGAAAAATGTCTCGTGTTTCTCTTGACCCTCTAGCATAGCTCCAATATGAAATGAGTGGATTTAGCATGTCAAATTTTTTCGAGAAAAAGGTCCAAATTTATCCTTCAACTTTTGACAATAATTTGAATAACACTCAAATTGGAGCTGGTGAAAATGAGATTTTTCTCCAACGACTAGGATAATATAAGATTACAAATTTTAATAGACACTAAGGTTGCTCAATTTCGAATTATACAGAAATAAATATGACCCTTTTCTCCAAATAAAGTGAGTTTCTCATGACCGTTTTATATTTGTTTGGTTTTGCCAGATATTGATGAATGTGCTGATCCAAACACCAATTCATGTGAAAAGAACTGCACAAACACCCCAGGGAGTTATATTTGTTCTTGTCCTGATAGATATACCGGTGATGGCAAAAAGGATGGCCGTGGTTGTGTTGCTCCCTACTCTGAATTCCCATGGATCAAATTCTCTATAGGTAAAAATCATGGAATACTTTCATAACCACGAATACTGTATTATTTTCCATGGGTCTATGTCACACCCTTTGGGGTGTCTCTTCCCCTGATCCTGCATGAATGCGGGATGTTTTGTGCACCTGACAAGAAAATAACTTACAAGTATGTGGTTCTTGTTATGTCTCCATAATATATGAATATTTATTTTGTCACTTCATATTTTTGCAAACGTCTTTATTTAACAAAAGTTTTGAATTTTAATTAGATGTTTCTCTTGTATGATAGTACAGCATGCACACACCACACATGTGGCAAAGGCGCAGTACCTATTTCCCTTATTCTTTTGGTTTTTTTATTTAAAACTTAAAAATCCAAATTTTGGTATGGTGATTATGATCTAGGACCAAGAGATACTTTTTTTTTTCTTCATAAATCCGGACTATGTTTGAATAATACAGAACTTTCTTTTATGTGTTTGAAACAGCCACTTAGAACACCAATTCGTCAGCATATACATTCAATAGCAAATGAATGTGTACAATCCTGCTCTTTTGATCTAGTTGAAGTAGACATTAAAAGTTCAATTCCAATAATTACACAGGTGCCGGAGTTGGCTTTATCTCCATAGTGGTTGTGATAACTTGGCTCTATTTCAGCATCAAGAAAAGAAAATTGATTAGAGTCAGAGAAAAATTCTTCCAACAAAATGGTGGTCTATTATTGAAACATAGAATCTCCACTAACGAGGGTGGTTTGAAAGCAACAAAAATTTTTACAGCTGAGGAGCTCAAGAAAGCTACGAATAATTATGCCAATGACAGAATTCTTGGTCGCGGTGGCAATGGGATTGTATATAGAGGCGTGCTACGTGATAATAGCATAGTTGCTATTAAAAGATCTAGATTTGTGGACGAGAGTCAAATTGATCAGTTTATCAATGAGGTGCTTATTCTTACTCAAGTCAACCATCGAAACGTGGTGAGACTGTTTGGGTGTTGTTTGGAAGCTGAAGTTCCTTTGTTGGTTTATGAGTATGTCTCTGAAGGAACTCTTTACGAGCACATTCACAATCAACGTGGAGCGGATTGGTTATCTTGGCAAAACCGATTGAGAATTGCAGCAGAAATAGCCACTACACTCGCTTACCTTCATTCATTTGCGTCCATGCCTATAATTCATAGGGACGTCAAGTCTGCCAACATACTGTTAGATGATGTTTACACATCTAAAGTGGCAGATTTTGGAGCTTCAAGGTTAATTCCTCTGGATCAAACACATTTGGCTACATTAGTTCTAGGGACATCAGGGTACTTGGATCCTGAATATTTTCGCACGAGTCAACTGACAGAGAAAAGTGATGTTTACAGCTTCGGAGTAGTTCTAGCAGAACTTCTAACGGGATTAAAACCTGTTTCTAAGGATAGAAACGGTGAGGACAAGAATTTGGCCGATTATTTTGTTATGTGCATGAATAAGAATACCTTGTTTCAGATTCTTGATCGCCGTATTTTGAGAGAAGGAAGTCTTGAGCAACTTCAAAAGATGGCTGAGCTAGTGAAGAACTGCCTTCGCGTGCACGGAGAAGATAGGCCTACAATGAAAGAAGTGGCCATAGAAATTGAAGGTATGAGGAAGTTAACTGGGATCCCTTGGTCTAATCAAAATGAACAGGAAGAGAATGATCAGAATGAATTATCAGATCTTTACACTGTTCCAATTAATTCCTATGGGAATATCCCCAATTCGGATAGTTCTCGTATAATGCATCCCACATACAGTCCAAGTTGATCCAAAATCTAGGCCACTAATCAGGGGCAAAGCTATGTATAGCCAAGGCTGGTCAACTGAACATCTTTCGCCGAAAAATTATATTACGTATAGGGTATATGATTACTGGTTATTGAATTTCCTAGCTTCACTACCACTAATAATAACATAAGATTGTATGTTACTGTCCCCATCCCTATGTTTCTTCCATATTGAATGTTCTAATGTGTTTTCCTTCCCTTTTTCCTCTCAATTTTTAGATACATTTCTTTTGTTTTCAGGGGTTTTCTTTTTCTTTTTCTTCTTTTAGTGATGGAGGCATGAAATAAAGTAATCAAAGTATGCTCAAAGCATGAAACCCCTTTCTCTGTGATTATTTAGCTTTCTTAAAAATGCATTGTAGAACTACTAGCTAGTACTTCAATAACACAGTGATTGTTTAGCTTTCTTTTCAGGTTACTCAAATCGGAAATTTAACTTTTTTATCCTAACAGAGCAATATATATGTCAAAAATACCAGGCAATTGAATGGGCCCTTTAAAAGCATCTAGATGATACAGACAACTTAATATTGAATGTTGTTAGGATAGGAAATTCGGATAGTGCGGAATTTAGCCAAACAACGGTATAATGACAATAACAAATACAATGGAAGTTGATAACAACGGCAATTAAAGCATATAAAGAAGACACAAATTTAACATGGTTCGGTCAAAGTGACCTACGCCCACAAGCGGAGAGGAGTAATTTCACCATACCAATAAGAGTATAAAAGAGAGTACAAAATTAGAGTAAATACTCTAATTAATCCCAAATACCCTAAGAGAATAACCTCACAAGATCACTCCAAAGAAATGATTCACACAAGTGCTTCCCAACACTAACACTCATACAAAACACTCTTAATAAAGTAGGAAAGCAAGAAACAAGAAATAAAGGCTCAAGTCTTGTTGGTGTATCTAAAATGAACTAATGGTCTTCCATTTTATAGGCAAAAAAGTCTTGGCCTCTTAGGTGTAAAAGAAGAGATACAACTTGTGCAAATGATGTCCACCACACAATGCAATATTTTTGGGTCCCAAAAAATATTGCCAACAAAGTCTACACTTTGCAAATATGCTTATGCTTATGTGAGATGGACTCCATTAGCCAAAATATTGGCAATATTACAAATCTCCAGCTTGGCCTAATTTTGGATGATATAGTAAATTTACTCCACTCTCTCCGCAAAAGCCTCAGTGGGCATATGTCAAAATTTAATGCCATCAAAATCAGACAGGTTATCTGATATCGAAGCTGCAGTAGGGCCTATAACAGTGGAGCCCAATAAAGTATACAACGAACCAGATCGGTATGCTTTCATGATCACAAGAGCACCTTAAAAAATTTTTAGAACTCCACCTTCACCAGTGAATTTGCACCCAAGGGATTCTAAAGTGCCCAAAGAGATGATATTTTTCTTCAACTCAGGAACATATCTAACATCGGTGAGAGTTCTCACCACGCCATCGTGCATTCTGATCCGAATTGTACCTTTGCCAATAACGTTACAAGTAATATTATTACTCAGTTAGATAACTCCACCTGCAACTGAATCATATGTAGAAAACAAGTCCCTGTTAGGACACATATGATATGAACAACCGGAATCTAAAATCCACTCATAGTCTAATCTGAAACTAGTTTCAGTTGCTAAAAATATAGTTCCCTCAATCTCATGAGTTGCTACACTAGCTTCGGAGGTATCAGTATTTTTGTGCTCATTTTTTCTTTCTTTATGCTTTTCTTTATTTTTCAGTTAATAGCATTCAGAGATAATGTGACCTTTCGTATGACAATAATGACACTCTAAATTATTGTATCTGGATATATAGTCGGATTTGTTCCTAACAAACAATCCAACTTTCTTGAGTTTTACTAGTTTCCCCAGTAATATCACTATCTATCTGTTCTTTTGATTTTAAGATAGATTTAATATCCTTATAAGAGATATTATCCTTTGCATAAAGCATAGAGTCTCTTATATGCTTAAAAGATGGGGGTAGAGAACAAAGCAGTAATACGGCTTGATCCTCATCTTTAATCTCATCATCTATATTGCTCAAATCCATAAGAATGAAATCAAAGGTGTAAGGATGAGAGAGAATAGAGGTACATTCACCCATACGAATTGTATAAAGCTTCTGCTTCAGGTAACGTCTATTTTCCACCGTTCTCTACATATATAAGGTTTTCAATTTTTCCCACATGCATTTGGATGTGGTTTCTACAGAAATTTCACGTAAAACCTCATTTGAGAGATTTAAAATGATACCTGCCTTTTGTCTTTTTATCTATGACGGCAAACTTCTCATCCGTCATTTTATCCGGCTTCTTCTCCTTTCCTTACAATGCCAAATCTAAGCAATTCTGAATTAGGATAGCTTCCATCTTTAATTGTCACATTCTGAAATTTGCACTTCGATCAAATTTCTCAACATAAGTCTTTGTTAAAATCATATTGGCTACTGAAACAAGCCCGGTTAGATCCGGCTCTGATACCAATTTGTTAGGATCGAAAATCCGGTAGTGCAAAATTTAGTCAAACAACGGTATAATGACAATAACAAATACAATGGGAGTTGATAACAACGGCAATTAAAGCATATAAAGAAGACACAAATTTAATGTGGTTCGGTCAAAGTGACCTACGTCTACAAGCGGAGAGGAGCAATTTTACTATACCAATAAGAGTACAAAAGAGAGTATAAAATTAGAGTAAATACTCTAATTAATTCCAAATACCCTAAGAGAATAACCTCACAAGATCACTCCAAAAAAAGGGTTCACACAAGTGCTTCCCAACACTAACTCTCATACAAAACACTCTTAATAAAGCAGGAAAAGAAGAAACAAGAAATGAAAACTCAAGTCTTGTTGGTGTGTCTAAAATGAACTAATAGCCTCCCTTTTAATAAGCAAAAAAGTCTCGGTCTCTTAGGTGTAAAAGAAGAGATACAACTTGTGCAAATGATGTAAGTCTTGTTGGTGTGTCTAAAAAGAACTAATGGTCTTCCCTTTTATAGGCAAAAAAGTATTGGCCTCTTAGGTATAAAAGAAGAGATACAACTTTCGCAAATGATGTCCACCACAGAATGCAATATTTTTGGGTGTCAAAGTTTATTACCAACAAAGCCTGCACTTTACAAATATACTTATACTTATGTGAGATAGACTCCATTAATCAAAATATTGGTCATATTACAAATGTGATGATTAATTTAACTTTCATCCTAACACAGACATGAAGAGAATGAGGAGTGGTTAGATCTTTACACGACTTCAATTAACTATGAACGCAAAAACAGCAATTTCTCTAGATAGTATATAGTTCCAGTGGAAGCTAAAATCGAACAATTACAAAGACATGGCACTACCAGCAGACACAAAGTAAATTGTAAAATAGAAAATGAAAGCTGTAAACTATCACAAATTCACCATAATTGGAGTAATTTTCAATTTAACCTTCAAATTACTCTACTCATCCTTTATTCTGACCTAAAATTCACAAAATTGCATAAGAATATTTTTGTTCCTATTTATTTATATATTATAGAGAAAATGTCCATAACTCTGGATTATTTTTTATAATACTTTAGTTTGTAACCCAATTGAACAACCTGCTTAGTTTTCGAAGCACTTCGTTTGGAAATTCACAATCTCTTAGCAACAGGATTGCTGCCTGCATTCACGCTTTGTTCTTTTGGTGACGTAGGAGAAGAGAAAGCTATATATATGAGGAACAATAACCAAAATACAGATTTTGGATTTGTTGATAATGATCAAATATATCCGGTCTTTTTTTACCTTTCTAGTCAGTAGTTTTTGGACACGTGTGTCCCACGTGTTTAAGTATAGATTTTTTAAAGGATAGTGATAATATTAAAACGCGTATATAATGAGTAGCATAAAATGTAAAGAAAAAAACCAAGCTCAATTGAAGAATGATTTTTCTATTTTAAGAGTTGATTATCGGACTTCATTGATTAGATGTCGTCTGAACCTGAAACGTAAAATCATTTAATTTAGTTAGTTATGCATTATTGAAAATAATCTAATTACTTATATTATTCGTTGAAAACATGTTATATGTTTGTATCGTACCTAACACTTCCTTGTAGACGATGTTCTTGGTATATGTTCCACTTCGATGTGTTGGTTGCTCTATCATGATGAGAACTTTTGTTGTGGACATTGATATCCCTCTTGGAAGTGCAACGTACAGTTGTCCATGCGAAAAAATATGTTGGGGCAAATACAAGCGAACATTGGGAATAGTTTGACCTTGTGCTTTATTTATTGTCATTACAAAAAAGCGAACTAGAAATTGCTTCCGAATGAACTTGAAAGGATATCCTTCATTTTCTGGGGGTGAAAGCTGAATGCGTTGAATAAACACATGCTTTGTTGCACAATGGCCTATCATAAGTTCTGCATGCAAAACGTTATTGTCAAAGCCTCTACATATCATTCTTGTTCCATTACATAAGCCATTTGAGGGGTTTATATTCCTGAGTAGCATGATGGGTGCGTTCTCCTTCAAAACTAACCTACATAAGAAATTAAAAGTTAAAAGGAAAGTCATTTTTTATTGCAGCTTTCAGGTTTGTATGTATAAGTTAAAACAAAGAGAAATAGTGGAGAAACAAAATATGTTTATAAATCATGATGTATAATATGATAAAATGCCTATGCGGGGGGACCATTGTGTGTTAAAGTATTTAGATATTCTTCCTGATAATAATTATTGGTGTCATTTTCTGTAGAGTTAAAACTAATAAATGTTTTTCTTTCACCTGGAACCATAGTTATCAACCTCTCATTTAGCTTGTCAACATGCTCATTTCTGCTTGCTAAGATAGCCCTCCCCGTTACATCTTTTGCAGAGTTAGCATTCTCTTGTAGTGATGGGTATAATTGGAGTAATTTTCAATTTAACTTTTAACTTACTTGTCACGACCCAAAATCCAAACCATCGTGATGACACATAACCCAACCCGCTAGGTAAGTCAATTAACAAAATACATAATATAATAACACTAATGTGAAGCAAAGATGAGATAACAGAATTTTATACAACTTCCCAAGGACTGGTAGTACAAATCATGAGTTTCTAAGATTTAGAATTTACAAGACTAGTATGAAATAAAGTATATCATTTGTCTGAAATATACATGAATAGATTAAAATTATAAAGCTA